ATTTCATAATGCCTTTTTAGGTGTAGACAAAAAGGGGAGGCCACCAGGTCTGGTTTGATATGATGAATTTGTGATAATCTCATCTTTCTAATCACTTTCTTTCCAAAGTGTACTGCTGTTACCTTAAATTCTGAAAAGCAGCAAATATGATAGCCTTTCAAGGGATTTCAAGGTGAGAGGAAACCGGATGAAAATTCAGTTGACTAGATCTTTAAAATCTTTTGCTACTAACAGCATGCCTAGCTGATAATAATGACTTTGGACTTACCTTTCATCCAGATGAACCCCAAAATATTTTGTCAACTCATACTTAATTTCACCAGGTGCAGAGCTGCAGCAGCTGTTTGGCAGAGCATAGCAAGCAGTTCAACAGTTGGGAATAGCAACGGACTTAATTGGGAGTTGTGGAGTAGTCTCTAAAATGGCTTGATTAAGACGTATAGCTGTAGGCCCACGCGGCACAAAAGCACACCTCCTCAGCAGGAACTGAGGCAGGGATTTTGTCTGAAGCAAAATGAAATGATTGCAGGGTCAGCATAGTCACAGTTTTAAATAGATGAAAAGAGGCAACTTAATGAGGACAACCTCAGTTACATTCATCTTCAACAGTGTGCTACTTGGAGGGCTAGAAATAAATGAAGACTAAAATACCACTAAATCTAGAGGGGGATATGTGTTCAGGAGCAATCATTTTCTTTTTGGGGGTGTTGCATATATCACTTGAAAACCACTTAAAAATTGATTGCCAACAGGGTGGACAGAATTGTGAATTGTGTTTTTAAAGATTATTTAGAGCTGCAGTTTCCCTGCACTTGGTTTTGGGTGTATTTGATAAAAAAGGATGTTGTGATAGCTGCACCTGCATGGTTTCACATATGGCTATTGTTGAGTAAGAAGCCAAAAGGGCAAAACCAAAGTGTTCTAATGCTTGGAATTGGTTGTATGTTTTAAACTCTGATCACATCTAGACCTGCAACACTAGTATGAGCTGGGAGCTGAATGCTTCACCTGATGGGACATGTGATTGGGTTGCAATTGGAGAAAGGCTTTGCTTTCAGTATCACCTGCTTCTTCCCATTTACCAGCTGCTGTTGTCACCATCTCTGGGCAGAGTTTAACCCCTCAGAGGATCTATTTAAATGTTGAAAAGAAAATTTCAACATTTTCTATATGAAAAGTATTTAAAAGTACTTGAGCATTTCTAAACTGCTGCCTATTTGAATCAATGTAAGATTTCCTAAACATTTTAAAGAACTTATATCATTGCAAGCCTATGAAGACTTCAGAAAAGCAATTAAAAATATGCATGATTATGTGGATTTATACTGCCAGTCTAAGCTCATTTTTTAAGTGAAAACATATATGTGAAACTAGCCCTAGGTCATCTTTTAAAAAGTGAAGTTGTCTTTGCTAAAGCTAAAAAATGTGGAGGCTCTGGATGATTTATTGAAGTGTTCTTATATCACATTTCCTTCCCAGTAAGTAGGTTTTCATCTCTGTGGGAGAATGCAGCATGCAGCCCCTGCCCTGCAAGAGGTTTGCATGCAGTTGTGTTTGCAGCAGTGACAGAGCAGTGGGTGAATGCTGTACCTCAGAGTGGTTTGACAGCTTCTTCTATGTGGCTGAACCTCCTTCAGACAGGGGGTGATTACATGACACATTTTCTTTTTTTAAGAATGCTTTTTTCCTCAATGCTAGGTAGGGAAGAAGAGTGGTGGTTATGCCCCATATTTATTATTCAAAACTTAAATTTTAGTGATAAGGAGGTCTCAAAATTATTCCTAAATTAAGCCTAACCATGCAGCTTTGCTTAGGCAAGAATGCAAAACATGACCAACAGTCTGCAGAAATGCTCCCCACTCACATTTCAAGTCAGAACAACGTAAACATCTTCATTTAATTAGTTGCATTTAAACTCCTTCTGTTTGGGGATGTCCTTGAGCAAATAGTTAGGAGTAGTTGTTGGTTCATCTTGGAAGTTGAATTTGTTACTTTGCTCAGTAGGTTTAAAAAGAGGTGGAGGGAGGAGAGCTTCTCAGTGTTTTCTGTCCTGTGCTTAGAATACTCAATTAATAGTGTCTCTTGCATTACCAGCGCTAATAGCTATCCTAGGTGTTTCCCCTTTCTCTGGTAGCAATTTAACACTTCTCTGTTTTGCAGCAGGGTTGAAAACATTTCTGGAAACAGTTGTTTCCCTTAGATTGTTGCACAGGCTTGTGGTTAGGCTGACAAGCTGAACACCTTTTCTATCAGTACAACACAGAGCAATGCTTGATAAGGTTCCCCAATCTGTTCCCATCCCTAAAGCAGCAATGGAACGTTTGTAGCTCCTGGATGTTTGGGTGTGGTTAGGCTGTGCTGTAGCCGCTCAAAGGATGAGCACATGCTGTGGTCAGGGTCTGTTTGTGGTTCACTGGTCAGTCTGAACCATTAATAAATACATTTGACATCTTCAGGAGGTCTCTGAATGCAGAAATCAAGGCAAGAATTCAGTGTACCCTGAGGTGTAGTTTCTCACTCCTGTGAGGAGTTTGTAGTCTTGTGGTGTTTCTTGGGTATCTATCAAAAGCTTAAGGAACAAGCAGGATAGATGACAAGCTTCTGGAAACTGGGAAGCATTCCTATCAGTCAAATGAAACCCTGCTGCACAAACAGTGGGAGCAATTGCCTGTCAAGTGTACTGTAATACTCAGCTCAGTATTATTTGACTGGCACATTGTGTTGTCACTGCTGCAGTGTCTGAACTCCAGTGAGACTTTCACTATTGCAGTAGTTTGGTAAATGGGGAAGGAAATGGATTTTGGATGGAGTTTTTGTAATGAGGTCAATCTGATACAGAAAGCCCAAGTGCAAATGGATGTGTTTACATATTCAAAAGTCAGCAGATGGCTTTAGATGGGATATTGATAACAAATAATAAACTATTTTAGGTATGCTCTTCTCACTTAAAATGTCTGATGACAAATCTTCTATAATTTTATGAAGCAGCCTTTGTAAGGTATTCGTAAGAATGCAAATCTGTGTCATCTGCTTATTACTAGATCCGTTTAGCACATCAGATGTCATTCCAGATTACCAGTTGCATTTCAGCTGGACTGGAAACAAATCCAGATCAGTAATAATGTAATGCTGTGTACCTTAAGGTTAAATGTCTGACAAGACAACTAGTGCTAATGGACTGTGACATTTTTCAGGCCATCAGTCTGACATTACTTGCTGTGTCAGAGTAAAATGTTTACAAAGATCTAACTCCACATTACAATACATTAAGACATTCTTTTCTCTTTAGCATTCTTCAAGCCTTCTAGGCTAATCTAAATTCCACAGCTGGCCCATGTGTAAAAGCAGCATCTTCCAGGCTTTGAAGAGCTCTGAGCACCATTGTGAGCGGGATTTGATTCAGTCCAGAATGCCCTGTAAGGCTTCTGTCCAGCACATTGCAACTTTACAGCTCGTGCTGCAGATAAAACTCCATGAACACAAACCCATGTGGGACCAGGGCTGCCACTGTAAATTTTCTGAGCAGTATCTCGCTATACATGTGCTATTGGTAGGAATGGCTTAATGTAAGGATAGCAAATACAGATGAAAAATTTTATGACAAAGTTATCTGCTAAATTTACACTACTGCAACAGATTAGCTCTAGGAATTTTTAATGTTTTAATTTTTTTTTTTAAATAAGGAAAATTTAAAACAGTGTTTTGCTTTAATGGGGCTTGAATGACTAGACTGATTGGCTCAAATCACATTTAAATCACATTTAAATAATATCATACTGTATTAAGAACTCATTAAAGAAATAGGTAAGAATTAGCCACTAAGGGCCATTTATTAGTAGATTGTTTCAGTGTCCTCACCGCATAAAAACTTTCTAAATATAGGGTTTTGTTTCAAATATTAAGATGGCTCCCCCGGCTTCTGTTTGAAACTATTTTCCCTTATTTTCATTAAATACTTACACTTGTGGTTCAGTTCGATTAAATGGCATATTCTGTCCACTCTTAAACAGCTTGTAATGCATCGACTTTTTTGGCGTGGTTTTATCTATCTTGACAGATTATTCCAGTGGCTAAGACAGGAATTGGAAAAAATACTGGTTTTGTTAATGCAATTTTCAGCTAAGTGTGAGGGTTTTTAATAGGTTGGATTATTTTTGTGTCTCTACGTGTGTTCAGTCATGCGCTATCCCTCCTGTAGTGTGGATGTGTGTATATCCATGAATGCAAAACTTCATCTCACAGACTGACAGTACAGTGACATCTGATACTATAGAATAGATGAAAACTCCGGCAGCGGTATCAAGCTTCAGACGTTCCAAGTAAATCCTAAGAAAGCATGAACCCATCACCAGACAGATTTAAAATGTAAATGCTGCTCTGCTTGATCAAGTCAAAGACTACTAGGTACAGATGCAGCGGCAATACGGTTATTTTTTACTTAAAACACCACTCCGGGAGGTTGTGGGGGAACAAACCCGCACTCGAGCTGAGGGCCAGGACCCGGGGGTCGGGAGCTGCTCCGGGGCACTGCGGGAGCGCTCGTGCTGCCACCGCCCCGTTCTGTCACCGGTCCCGGCAGCCGGCCCGGCCCGGCCCCGCTGTCCCCGGCCCCGCTGTCCCCGGCCCCGCTCCCCTGTCCCCGGCCCGGCCCCGCTGTCCCCGGCCCCGCTCCCCTGTCCCCGGCCCCCTCAGACCCAGTGCAGCACCTGCCGGGCCGGGCCGGGCCGGGCGGAGCAGCCCCGGGGCGGTGGGGGCGGTGCCGCGGGCCGGGCGCGCCCCGTGACCGCCCCTCGGCGCCGGCAGGGGAGGGGACGGAGCGACCGGTGTAAACAAGGCGGGGGACCGGGGCTGGCTTCGTGTCAGCGGGTCACATGGAGCCTCTTATGGGCCGGGGGATGGCGGCGCGGCGTGGCTCTCCGCTGGCAGGCGGCGGCTGCTGCTGAGGCAGCGGCGGTGCTTCACGCCGAGGGCCCGTCCCGCCTCCCCTCCCCGCCTCCTGCCCGCCGCGCTCCGCTCCGCTCCCCGCCGTGCGCCGCTGACAAATGATGTGCGTTGTGCTCGCCGCGATGAAAGGTAGGCGCGTCCGCGGGCCGGCCCGGCCCGGCCGCTCAGCGGGGCCGGCCGGAGCCGCGGCGCTCCGTGGCCTCCGCGCTCCCCGCGCCGGGGCCGCCGTTCGGGGTCCGGCCCCTCTCGTTGCCCGGCCCGGGCGGCGGGAGGCTCTCGGGAGCGCTCGGGGGGACGCGCGGCTCAGCCCCGGCTCGGTGCCGGCGGCAGCGCCGCGGAGCCGCTGCGCTTCACGGCGGCGCCTGCAAGTTAGAGAGGGAGAGGCGATGCGCCAGCGCGGCGCTGGGCAGGCACAGGCTGCGGTGTCGCGGGCTGGAGTCGCTCAGAGCGGAGACGAGATGTTCCTGGGCTTTCTACAAACCCGTGAAGAAAAGGCATTCTGTAAAATCTGACTCTAGCAAAGAGGAAAGGACGTGCAGCATCCTATGGGTAGCTGATGAGGCTAAAATGCCGTCTTCAGACAGCTGCTCGTCTTTCAAAGGCTTTGGAATAAAAGGAAAGACCAGCTACTTAGTGATTTATTTTTTCTAAACTTGGAGTTTTCTCTTCTTGCGGATTCGAGTCCTTAATGAGGGGCAGTGGCAGACTGAGGACAGTCAAACGAAGTTTTTGATGAGATACCAAAAGTTTAGAGGTACGTTTGTAGTCTGCCCTGTTTCCTAATAAAATTAGGTTCACAGTAGAGCTTTGCATTGCGGTATTTTTAAAGTCATAGGTTTGGGGCTTTTTTTTTTTTTAATATAGAAAAAAGAAATCTAAATCAAATAACCATGTTACTTACGAGCAATATTTTTTCACGGTAATCTAAAGCCTCTAATTGTTGGCATTCGAATTTAATGGCCCCACAAGAATACTAAATGTGTGCTGTTTAAAATGAATTTTAGGCAAAATTTCTCTTTTAAAAATGTAATTACCTGGAAAAAGAATACTGGGTCTTGCTTCAGGTAGAGACCATTTCTTTTTTTTTCCCACTTTGCAAGGCACTAGATAAGGCACACCAGTAGCAGCATAATGTTTAAGAATGATAATTTTCAATTACTCGGCTTCCTTTTCTTCTTGGATAGAAGCCTATGTGAATAAAAAGAAAAGCACTATATTCATTAATCATTAGCTATGCTGAATGTATTTGGCAAGAAAACGTAATTGGGTTGATTCAAATACTTGCATCTGTAACAAAAGGAAGTGCATTTTTTTAAGTGCAAACTACATGGCTATTTTAGCAGTCCTTTAGAATTCTACATATTCTGATAACAGTTTTTCAGCATATCCCTTATAAGCCTGTTAGAACCATGAAATTAAATAAACAAACTTTTTTATAAAGAGAAGAAAGTACACAAACAGAAAAATTGAAGGGTGTGATTATTTTGTATGCTTCTGGACAGAGATTTAAGGTGTGTGGTAAAAGAGCAGACAGATGATTTACAGCAGTTCAACTTTGAAATGTATTTTTTATTCTCTTGGGAGTTTCATTTAAACCAGTTTCCACACTGATGTAAAATCTTGGCAGAGCACAGCTTCACAGCTTTTGGATTTTAAAGTGTAATTCCTAGTGGCTTTATTGTGGAAATGCTTAGGTCTTTGTACGTCTTACAGACTACTTCTGTAGTCCATTTAATTCATGTTTCATTATATTTAGTTTTATAGAGCATTGAAAAACTTGGTTTCTTATCCTTTCTCTAATTAGCTGGACAGGGTTCAGCTGAAGGAAATGTGTTGCCATTTGTCTTAAAAGGGCCTCTGACTGCTATGAAATAATAGATCCACAGGCCAACATCATGATTTGAGAGAAGTAGACCAATAGAATAGGGAATGCAGTTTGTTTAAGCTTGAAAGTACAAGGGAAAAAAGCAAAATCTGTAGGTGAATTGAGTATCTTGTTTGTTCCTTATTCTGTGGTGGCATCTTCTAATCTTTTACAGTTCTGACATTAAAGTGCAAAAAATTATGGTATTCAAAAGAATACGGGATTTTCATACTGGGTTTAATTTTCTTTCTTAGGTGAAAAGGGTGAGTATTAATGCCTTTCCTATTGCTGTTTAGATAGCCCAAACTGATTTGATGTGAAGTTAATTTGTGAGTTGTTTTATTTTTCTTGCAACACAATGTTCTGGCAAACATGTTCTCTTTAATTCTGAAAAGTCCTGAGCCTGCATCCAGGTTTGGGTGGGTAAAGACTGGCTGGCTGTCACACATCGAGAGTTGCACTCGTACACTTAAAATGCTGGGAGCAGAGCAGTCCAGGGGAGAGCCTGGACATGTCTTTGAGACAGGCTGCATGTTAGGAAATGAAACTTTCTCATTTCAGGCAGAGCGGAAAGAGGATTTTTTTTCCCCTACTGATTTCTAAGAAAATGGGCAGAGATGAAGCTTCAAAGTTCTTAATGACTGAATAAGTATTTTCTAGGTTGATTAGAAACTAGAAATTATTTATCAACTGCTATGAGTCTGTGGAGTATCCAGGAAGCCTTGCATTTTTAGTTTGTAACACAGGTAAGTCAGCTAGCCAGCTGACACTTTTAAGGGAGACAGCAACTTTACGTTCTCACCGGTGAGGTTTGCAAAGAAATCCGATCATTCTGCCGGCGTAGTCACTGGTACGGATCTTATTCCAGAGAGAGTCTCCCCTAGCAGGAGGATCAGGGGTGACTTCAAGGAGAATAGTGATGAGTGCTGAATTGATGAGCAAATACACTGCACTGGAGTAGAAACAGGAATTCCTTTGTCAGGCCTGTAAGGAGCCAGAGGTGAGCCCAAGACCAAGGGAGATGGTTTCCTTGGTGTGGGATTGTGCCGTGTTCTGGTACCTGCTTTGTACAGAGATGTCAGTCAGGCCAGAGCCGCTGAGGGCTCAGGTATTTGTCTTGTACTATCACCAGGCCTGGACAGAAGGTTTCAGGCTGCTGATGAGTTATAAAGTGTGGACAGGAACCTGGCAACAGTTGCATTATCTTTCTTATGGACATTCCTAAATAGAGATTGGTGGGAAGGCTGATGTAAATTTTCTAAGCTATTTCAACCCAGGTGTATTTACTTTAAGGTGGCATTTGAAGTACTAATCCTGGCTACTGCTGTGTGAACATAAAGTTCAGTGTGTTGCTGTTTTGTGGAAGATGGACCAGATGAGTACAATCTGTTGCTCCTAGGCTGTAAAGGAAATTTTTTGCTTTGGGGGTCTGTGCTTGGATCATTGGAACTATAACTAGCTTCTCTACTGACGGTGTCTCCAAATAAAAGTTCAATCATTAAAAACACTTGTTTAAGGAAAAAGACTCCACTGGTTTCCTTATTAGCACACAGGTTTTTTGGAATCTGCTGCATTTTTCCGGAGAAGCCGAGCTGCAGCTGGGCAGAAAGCAGCATTTCCCTTGCTGGCGCTGTCCCACTGCCCCAGGTGCTTTCCTTGCAGCGAGCGCTGCGCTGCGGAGCCGGCAGAGCCGGGCTGCTCCGGGGCCAGACAGGGATTCACGCACTGCTGCTTCATGCGGGTCAGCTTTTCCCAGTCTCTCAAGCCTGACCTTTTGACGTGGTTTTTGTCATGTATCCTGGCACCAGCCTTCCAGCATGTTGGTAATTACTCAGTATTTTTTACCAGTAAACAAAAAAATATGGAAAAATATCATGCCATAGGTTTAAAAAAAAAAAAGGTAGCTTTGCAAATTGAGGTGTGTTTAAATTTAATTTTACTGTGGGCGCTATTAAAGGTTA